ACTCTTCACCATTTTCTAGTTTAATACCATTGCCATACAGTATGTTATTTAACAAGCCAACAATGAACCAAAAATAATAATCCAACGTATATTGGAAATTGTTTTAGGGGAATTTTTTAGCCACTGTTACCTTTTTTGGAACCACTGTTGACCACACTTCAGCCCTCAAAGCCCATTTTTTTTTTAAAGTATCACATCAAAACCAATGTACCTTCTAATAGAACATCTTCCAGTATGGACACTGACTGTGACCTGAAGAATAGGATAGTGAAATTATTGATATTTATCACCAGCTGCAAATAAATCATAGTGCAGCATACAGGCAAAAAAAGAAGATATCTATGCAAGATGACCTAAAGGCTCAGCTCACACTACTGTAATGCAATCTGGGCATGATTCGCAATGAGATTATGTAGTGTGACTTTACTACGACTTTGGTTGTGTTTTGAATGTGGTATGCATAACCTTTGGGGCCAAATCACACTGTAAATTGCACCAAAGAAGCACAGGACCCTTTCCCAAAGTCATATCACAGCTGCACTGTATTGATGTGAAAGAGCACCATTGGAAGCAATGTTATTTACATTGACATGTGATTCAGTGCATCTGAAATCGCATCAGTGTAAACAAGGCCTCAAGGTCTCTTTTAAAATGTATCTGAAAAATTCTGGCTGGGTAATATGTCAAAAATGATAAGGATAAGAGTTTCCTCTTGTCATTCATACAAAGTTTGAGGGAAATGGATAAGGAATAGAAATAATTTTGAATATTTTTATTTTTGGGAAATATCACAAGCAGTTTGTTACTAAAAAATCCATACTACAACCACCTTATCTCTTTTTAATGCCAACGTACATTGCAAATAATCCATTACCTTACCATTTTCATTGCAGTAATCCTCTAACTCGAAGACAAAGCCCATCCCCGCTAAACATTAGTTCAGAGCATTCTATTGGAATCCCACCTTTGAGTTCAGGAGCTTCAGGAGTTCACTTTGTTACTTGTTCACTATATATTTTTTACATTCAGAGTTGTTTGATTTGTATAGGGAAGAGCTGCACTATAAATTTATATTTACCAGTCAGATTGTTTTCTTGACCATAAACGTGGCACAAACAGATAAAGCACTTTTTCTTAAACAAAATTAAAGAATAAACAAAATCATTCTATTCTAGACTTGCAAAAAGAAAAAAGGTTCTTGTTTTATCAATGTCCTCTGTAATGCATTCATTTGCAAGCATATCGTTCCTATTGTATGTTGTCAACTTATCTTTGATAGAGATGCTGTGAATTAGTATTTATGAGACAAATGGTTCATTGATTGGTATCAATCCTCTTAAGTCCTACCAGGAAAACACATTTAAAGGTTATGTTATTTATGTTACATATTTTCTTTGGCTTCTACATTGTAACATTTCTACTGACAGAGCCAGGAAATGTAAGTTATGCCCATAATTATTATACATGCATAAACATTTTTTATTTGTCATTCATAACTTTCAATTGAGTTTTCATATGCTTGCATTAGCATTGTCATTCTAAAAATCAATCCACAAATTGCTTGAAATGTAAACAACCATATGGAATGTATGCCTGTAGCAGAGTGATGTACCATTTGAAGTTTTTAAATTGTACATAAAAGTAAACCTTTTTTTTTTTAAGTTTTGAGGAGAGTGGAGAAGGATTAGAACACCTATTAGTTTTAATTGCTGTCTGTGCCCCTATTGGAGATGCACCCTTTCTATTTGTCCTGTTACCATCATCATCGAAGGTGAAAGTAAAAGAAAATCCCACATTTTGGGCTGACATTGGAACAGTGGTTCAGGGAAAATTTTTCAATGGAGACACCTGTTCTGGTAATCCTGGTGACATCCTGGAGGGATTTTCTGTAACTTCCTGTTTAGGCTATAGGGCAGGACATGAAGGGAAATCTCCCCTATGGGACACAGATGGCAAAAAAGAAAAAAACAGACAGGTTTCATAACTCTCACTCTCTCTAAAATGAAATAAAAAAATGCTATTGGGTACATTTTAAGCAATACTCTTTATTGGATGCAGGCTTACAGGATAACTTAGATCCCTACATAAGATGTTATACACGACAAATGGATATGTTATCCTGAAATCTTGAATCTTTACTAACTGAAAGTGGCTGTAAACCCTTACATACTGTATACTCAGTAAAGTGACTAGCATCAGGTGATATGGAGATGAAACAAATCATCCTGCAGCAGATCAGCAGTTTTTGAAATACTCAGACCAGCCCATCTGGCACCAACAACTATGCCACGTTCAAAGTCACATAAATCCCCATTCTGATACTGGGTTTGGACTTCAGCAAGTCATCTTCACCACCTCTAGATGCCTAAATCATTGAGTTGCTGCCAGGTTATTGGCTGATTAGCAATTTGTGTTACTAAGCAATTAAACTGGTGTACCTAATAAAGTGGCCGGTGAGTGTATGTGCATCATGTGAATGCATTTTATTGTGTGTTTTTGTGCAACACACATAAGGCAGCCTTTTCACTTGAATGGGCTGACCTATGCATGACAAACTCATCAAAAAAAACTCCAGCACCTTTTTAAACATTGAACTTTGTGCACTTTTTTACAGCGTATTTTGACATGCTTGTGTTTTGCATGCTAAAATGTGCTTTTGCTGTCCACGTTTGGTGTGCTAATAACAATTTATGTCACTGCAAGTGCAACATGCATTTTTCATGCATTCTTGGAACACGTGCAGATATGTGTGTTTCTGCGCCCATTCCCAGAATGCGCAGATTTCAATGCAGCCTTACGTCTCTACAGCCACTGCTGGCAGCTGGTACACTTGAAGATGGTCAAAGAACTCAAGTGATGCGTACAGGTTCCCACAGACTTATGGTATGTGGTAGGAAAAGAGTTCTGCAATTGTACAGGATCAGGGGCGGAATGACAACTTATGGGGCCCCCGGGCAATAGGGGATCATGGGGCCCCTGTGTCCTTGCCCAAACTCAAAAAAGCCTATGAAAAAGGTACCAGGGGCATCACATGGTGCCCCCTACCAACCCCGGGCCTTCGGGCAGTGCCCGAGTTTCCAAATGGTCAGTCCACCCCTGTACAGGGTAACAGTCTGTGAAAATAGACTGTATCTTTTATGTTTATACACAAGGTATTAAATAGTCATTGATACTAATTCTATAAATGATAATGACAGATATTATTTATTATTTTCAGACAGACTCCTAGTCCCACAGCCATTTCCCACTCAGCACACATTATGAATCAGAAAATGTATCTATACTGCTTACAGGGACGTAGATGGGGCGGGGTCAGGGGTGTTCAATCCCCCCCCCCCCCCGAGCAACCTGCCAAAAATCAATTGAATGATATCCCTGCTGTGCTGCTTGTTACTGGTGCCATGTGTGGCTGGCAGCAGAGCAGGGACCCCATGCAGTTTATTCCTGGACTGGCCTCGCCCTGCCTCAGCAGTGTGGAGCTGTCAATGGCATTTGTGCAGGGCAGGCACTAACCCTGTTTACACTGCCGTGGCACCCCACCTACGGGGAGAGCCACTCTGTCAGGCTCGGGTTGGGTTGTCTGAGGGAGGCTGACTGTCACATGAAGCAGCAGCAGTGGCCGGTGTCTGTCCCGCCCACCGCTCTTTTGCTATTGGTTCCTTGCAGTTCCTCTACTTGGGGGAGGAACTTTGGGGGAAGAGCTTGAGAGTGCCGGACGCTTGCTTTGTATCTGCCGGACCAGTGGGCATGCCATCTGGATGAAGTGGTGGTTGCTGCTCTCCTTTCCAATCTAGGTGTATCCCTCTTTTTCTTGTGTTCTCCTCAGGCTAGCTTACTACTGCTGTGCTGCTGGTGAATTTCTTCTGTTCCTTCATACTAGATAATTAGAGCCTGAGAGATTGTGTGGCTCTGGAAACTGGGAAAGTTGATGATTGAGTCTCCATTGCTGTTGGGTTTGTGGGCAGAGATTTGTGGGGGCAGAATTGCTGTGATATGTCTGTAGTCTCTGACCATCTCCCTTAGTAGGTCCACAGTCTCTGACTATCTCCCGTAGTAGGTCCACAGTGTCTGACCATCTCCCTTAGTAGGTCAGCAGTCTCTGACCTTTTCTTGTAGTAGGTCCTCGGTCTCTGACCATGTCCTGCAGTAGGTCCTCAGTCTCTGACCATCTCCTGTATTAGATAAGCAATCTCTGATCATCTCCTGTAATAGGTAAGCAGTCTCTGATCATCTACTGTAGTATGTCTGCAGTCTCTGACCAAATCCTGTAGTATTCCTGCAGCCTCTGATCATCTCTTGCAGCATGCCTGCAGTCTCTGACCATCTCCTGTAGTGTTTCTGCAGTCGCTGACCATTATTATTATTAAATTATACAGTATTTATAAAGCGCCAACAGTTCGCTCAGTGCTGTACATTACAAAGGGAGACAGAACATGTGACAGTACGAAAACAATACAATGAGATACACAAGGGGTTCAAGGGCCCTGCTCTTTCGAGCTTACAATCTAGGACCATCTTACCTATCATGTCAGCAGTCTCTGACCATCTACCCTATCATGCCTGCAGTCTATGACCATCTTCCCTATCATGTCTGCAGTCTCTGACCATCTCCCATAGCAGGTCCACAGTCTCTCACCATTTCCATTAATAGGTCCGCAGTCTCTGACCATCTTCTGTAGTAGGTTCGCAGTCTCTGACCATCTCCTATAGTAGGTATGCAGTCTCTGATCATCTCCTGTAGTATGTCTGCAGTCTCTGATCATCTCCTGTAGTATGTCTGCAGTCATCTCTGACCATCTTCTGTAGTATGTTTGCAGTCTCTGACATTCTTCCCTATCATGTCGTCAGTCTCTGACCATCTCGTAGCAGGTCTGCAGTCTGACCATCTCCCACAGTAGGTCAACAGTCTCTGACCATCTCCTGTAGTAGGACTGCAGTCTTTGACCATCTCCAGTAGTAGGTGTGCAATCTCTGACCATCTCCTGTAGTAGGACCGCAGTCTCTGACCATCTCCTGTAGTAGGTCCGCAATCTCTGACCATCTCCTGTAGTAGGTCCGCAGTCTCTGAGCATCTCCTGTAGTAAGTCCGCAATCTCTGACCATCTCCTGTAGTAGCTCCACAGTCTCTGACCATCTCCTGTAGTAGGTCCACAGTCTCTGACCATCTCCTGTAGTAGGTCCACAGTCTCTAACCATCTCCTGTAGTATGTAAGCAGTCTCTGACCATCTCCTGTAGTATGCCTGCAGTCTCTAACCATCTCCTGCAGTATGCCTGCAGTCTCTGATCAGCTTCCCTATTATGTCTGCAGTCTCTGGCCATCTCCTGTAGTATACCTGCAGTCTCTGACCATTTCCCGTAGTAGGTCTGCAGTCACTGACCATCTCCTGTGGTAGGTCTGCAGTCTCTGACCTCAGTACCACTTCTCCTGTCCTGGATGCTGGGTGTAATTCTTGGAATCTGTTCTTATTCTGTATGTATGAACTCTGCACAGTACCACTTCTCTCAGGGTTCATGCACATAGCTGCAAAAAATGCAGCTTTTTATCAACTGAGTCCAGGCTTGGACATCTATTCCTAACTGAAGGTAACTGCTTTGTGTGTAAGTACATGCGAATAGTGGCAACCGCTGTCTGCCTGTCATTTGTTTAAATGGGCTAAGCAACTGCTGCTATTCGCATGCCCCATCATTCCAGCCGCGCAAAGCCACTGGTTAAAGCATTAGCATTTTCTCCTAGCAGCCTTAGGGTAGTCGGTTCAAATCCCAACTATGGCGCTGCCTGCCTGGAATTTTCATGTTCTCCCTGTTTTGCTTGGGTTTCCTAGAATCCAAAGACATGATGATGGGCTAATTGGCTCCAATCTAAATTGGCCCTAGTGTATGCATGAGTTAGGGACCTTACGCTCCTTGAGGGCAGGGACCGATGTGAATGTACAATATATATGTAAAGCGCTGCGTAAATTTAATGGTGCTATATAGGTACCTATAATAAATAAATAAGACGTTTCACCAATTTAAGTGTGTCTGTCCCAAATTAGGCATTTTGGATTATCCCAAGCAACAAATCATAAACAGACATCCCTTAGACTTTTAAAGGAGTCAGAGTGAATGGACTGTTGCTTGTGTGAATGGTGGCCTCTGAACTGTTTTGGGAAAGAACCATTCAAATCAGCAGCTCCTACGGGGGTAGCGCTACATGTACAGAAAATACACTCTGGGTTTTGGGGACACACTGAAGAACCCTAAAAGTATGTCAGTCATCTCTAGGTGTCTGAAGTTAGCAACTGGTATTATTTTATTAAATTCTACTTATGAACAAGTACACTGGGACACAGAAAAATGTTCTAAACCCTATAGGTTATTTCGCATTCTGTTAATAAATTGTAGCTTTTTACATTATGACTCTTAACAGTGAAAAACATGAAATGTTTACTTTAGAATGAACTTTTATCCATGTCAGATCCAAAGTTGTCATTAAATACCATTTCTAACTGCTCTGTATTGCTTAAGTGTGAAATTTATTCTACTCAGATTTTCTCTTTTTGTACTCATTCTCTTAAAATGACAGTCATGACTCACAACCAGATTTGGTAATGCCACATTCAGTTATTCCATGTGAAGTCAAGTAACATCATTGACATTGAAATGTCATAATTGGTGACTAAGTCTAGCAAAAATTTTAATTGTAGCAGTATAGCATGTTGGCTGTCATTCACCTAGCTGTCAAGATGATACACTGAATTTGAAACTTATATAGACACTGGAACAAGTAAACAGATCAGGATTTCTGACTTGTTTGGCTACAAACTTGTTCTGGGTCAGCGACTCGAAATGCTTTAAAGGCAAAGAAATCCAGATAACTTGCATTTTTAAAAGGTGGTAACTATTTCTCTCAGTGCAATTTTTTTTTTTTGCACTGTTTTAGGGTAACAAACTTATTTGTGATTCTACAGAGAGAACACAGCATAATCGGTGTTCTTTCAGATTGTCTCTCACTAGTTAGAGATCTGTAAGCCTCATATGACCCATATAGACAAGGAGGAGGATAAGCCATCCTTATTATTTTAGTTGTATTTGCATGTTTGAGCTATTGAGCTGCGTAAGCAATAGATTGATTTTGGTAAAGCACCTAAGATTAATCTGCTAAACCCATGTAAAAAAAACCAGAGCTTTGAAACCTTACTGAAAAGTTAAAGGACAATTTTTACCAACCTACCCTCCCCATATCCTGGTGCAAGGACCATTAACTCATTGGCCAAGGGTGCTGGTGTATTTGATGTGCAGATTAACTGGTCAAATGTAGATTACAGTATGGGAAAGGCATGATAAGCAGTCTAAAGCTCAATTCTCTCATTATGTAACAGCATTTGAGGTGACATTCTCTGAATACATTTCTCATATAATTCTTGTAATTTCAAGATTCACATCTCTTCATTCTCTTCAGTGGGGTTGAAACTGAGGTTTACAGTCTCTGGAATTTATGATGAATTTCGTAAACAGCCTGCAAATGAAACGGAGGCCGATTGGCCCATCCCTACCCATAGGTAAATAAGTGAATGAGGGTTTGTTTTAAATTGCTTTACCGATTTGTTCAGAAAATGTAAATATTGAAAGTGCATAATCAGGGAACAGGTTCGCTCTAGTATACTTCCACATGCTAGTTTAGCTTTTTCATGTTTGTACTGACCATATTGATACTGAAATGTAAGAGTCTGACACTGAGATGTACCTACCCTGAAAATTCAGCACCTAAAAAGAATAATCTGCCGACCAATTACAAAACAATTGCTAGACACAAGGGTTTATGGATGCAAAACAACTAGATAAATAAAAATTGCTAAATGCCAGTGGAATACTGTTTTAGTACATGAACACAAAATAATGAGAAAGCACAGAATATGGAAAAAAAATTACTAGAAGTCATTGGCATATTTACATAAATTTACTAGGTGCCAGTGGATACTTACCTTATTAGCATTTCCCTTATAGAAAAAATGAGTATTATTTTCCAGAGTCTTCCATGGTGCTAGGCACCTGGCCAAGTAGTGTTAGATCTATGGTGCTGTTGCAGGCTGTAGCTAAAGCATCTGCAGTTGCATGACAGATGTGTGCATGGGGTATCAGACAAACACATCAGGCAACAACTCCAAGCACCTCCTAGGCAAACATCCTATATGCTTTTGGGCAATTTATTTTTATATAGATTTGTATGGTCAGGACCTGAAATATTAAAAACAAATTAAAAAAAGACAGTTTAAAAGCAAATCACTGGAAACAGCTAAACACCAGTAGGCAATCTTGCAAGCCATAGCTGGAAAACAATGTGGCTGCAGTAGTCTTGTCAGCAATAGTTCTAACCTAAAGCAAGATTCCTCCTTCCCAGGAAAAATATGTAGAAGGGAACGCTTTCCAGATTTTAAATTAATTCTGCAGTCTAAGAAGTCTTCTAATGTGAATGTTATACTGAAAATTTAACTTATAATAGATAGTTTTCTTTTACTACAGTACACACTCCCACACACTCTCCCTTCTGTTCTCTTAGACCTGAAATATTCCATTTTAATATATTGTATTTTTGTTCGCAGCCAGGAGGTGGAACTCAAGGCTCCTCTCTACATTAGTACCTGTTTATTTTTTTTATTGGTATACATATTTTTAAAAATGTGCAGTTATTATTTTTGTCTAAAAGGTGAACTTATCCTTTAAGCGAGCTTACAACATAAAGAATATACAGTAGATACCAATGTCCTTGGCATTCAATATACCATCAAATCAGGTAATCATTTGGGTTAAGATCATAGAGTTAAGCATGCTCTATGAATTGGTACATGTTTGCAGCACTTTATGTATACTTTGCTGCTTATGTTTTTAGATTACCAGTGGCCTTACATAATAATCTACTATGCTTGGTTGATTCCTCTTGCTGCAGCACCCGTGGTCTTGAATAGAGTTAACATTTGTTGGTCGGGGTTTAGGTATACCCACATTGATATTGATGTGTGTATGTTATTCTACCTTATTATATATTTAATTGGCCCTTCATTATGCTGGCCGCATAATGTGTCCCCACGTTCAGATATTAAACTCAACACTCCTATAGGTCTCTGCATCTCCCCGCTGTACTCAATTTTCAATTGTTATTTTATATACGTATATATGGAAAAATTTATTTTCACTCTTCCACATAGATACACCAATTTAGCTCCTGAGGAAGCAACTATTTGTTGTGAAACATGTAGAGCAAGCTATAATTGTAATCAAGACAAAAACTCACTTTTGGAAGAAAACAAACAATACAGATACTTGTGACCGTTGGGTACCATGTCCATTATGTGATTATGGGGGTTAGCCTATTCCAATTACTTAGGGTGCTAATTTTTATTGTATGATTTATATGATACAAGTCTTTATGGATCATTGTCCTTTTTTAAAGAAAATATTGCAATAAAGATGAAATTACTCTTTGAAAATATTTTTTTACGTGTATGTGCCTATAAGGCGAGCCATTATTCTCAATTTTGACATTATACATTCATTTGGTACACATTTGCTTTTCAAACCAAAAAGCCATTTTTACCAGTACCTCCCCACAGGGATAATTCTTTATAACATCATGGTCTCCTTTATGGCAAAAAAAAAAATCTCCATCCTCCCAGATTGTAAGCTCCAAGGAGCAGGGCCACCCTATCCAGGGGCGGACTGACCATTTGGAAACTCGGGCACTGCCCGAGGGCCCAGGGTCAGTAGGGGGCCCCATGAGATGCCCCTGGTACCTTTTTCATAGGCTTTTTTGAGTTTGGGCAAGGAAACAGGGGCCCCATGATCCCCTATTGCCCGGGGGCCCTGTGAGTTGTCAGTCCGCCCCTGTCCCTCTTTTATTGAACTGTATTGTTGCTGTATTGTCTCCCGTTATAATGTAAAGCGCTGAGCAAACTGTTGGCGCTATATAAATCCTGTATAATAATAATAACACTGTAAACTTTAGATGTCTAATGTAAAATCTTTCCATATGCTTCTTTTCAGGTTTCTGGGCCCATTTACATTATATGTGTTGGACTGTACTGGGGAATCTTCCCCTATGCTGTCCCAAGGCATAGACAAAGAAATTTACCCTGAATCCTTTGAGTTCAGTTCACACCACTGTGCTGCATTGGTATGCACTGAAAAAATAGGACATGCTTTTTTAGCATAGCATATAGCAACACATTACACTACATCATAACCTGTTGCGGTAAATAAAGATGAATGAAACACTATTTTCTGGTATTTCAACAATGTTGAAAATATAAGAAAAAGTGTGATGTGTCATTTGCAATGCATTGGCCCCATTTCCTTCACAATATCTGTTATGGTGTACAAACATGAGCGGGGACTGTAAGTCATTACATG